TTTTTTTTGTCCAAAAATTTTCTTGTTTTAAAATCTATAGATTTTACCTTCAGGATAAGAAAAAAAATTTTTTTTTTCGCTCCATGCTAGTATACAGGACCGCACAAAATGTTGAATGCTCAGTCCGTTTCCCATTCCTTTACGACCACCATTCATTGTGTAATCGCTTTGACCTAACTCATACGCGTTTCCTTTTCTTCAAATCTTTTTTAGGGTCTATAACGCTTACCAGTTGATACAGAAGAGATTTCGAGAAACGTATGGACAACAAAACTCGCACTGATAACCACACCGGAACAACTTAGCTCCTAGTTCATTGATCCATATTACAACTTACCTTCTTGCATAGATTATTTAGCACATAACGGCAGTTAGGTGAATAATATTGTGTTGCAGTGTTTCAGTTGTAACATTTACGGAGCACCTCTGGTTAGTGGTTTGAACGTTCAGCGTTAAGCCACTCTTTCGTTCCCCAAAAAAGAAGAGTTGTGCTTGCTTTCTTCATTAAGTTTAATTTAACTCATTCATGTTGTGTTTATATTTGTATGTCAGACATAATTTGTATTCGTATTACATACATCGTACATATTTTTAATAGAATTTTATCCTAGTTGTACATATTATATACACCTTGCTACATCTACACAAAGTATACAATGCATATGTATATGCATGACGGATGCACAACATAGAAATGTATGCGTGTGTGTCCGCAAAGTATACATTGGCAACGTTCGTATTAATATTTACGTAAATATAACGCCCAATTACAATACATACAATAATTACAAATGTATAATTGTCTTTAGTTTGCATTAATTTTATTGTAAACTTCTTAGTATTTCAATTCCTGAATTGACAATTAACAAACACACATTTAGTTATATACATACATACATACTACATATACTGTATATACATACATAAGAAACTTAGGTTTTAATTCGCTCATACTTTCTATTTCGCGTCATTGTCGAGAGTAATTACATAGAGAACATACATATGTCTATTTGTAACGGTAAATAAAATTAAAGTATATAAAACTAAAGCATAAATAATATTTGTTTTATAACATTTGCCCGAGGAATTCGCTAGAAATCTCTATGAAACGAGTAAAGTGCGAAGAGGGCTAATTTTGGGTGCAGCCGAGTATTGTAAACTTTCGCAGTTGATTAAAATGTGAATGAAATGAAAGTGTATTTAAAAGACGTTGCGTATGAATACAACTTTTGATGTTAGCCGTACTTGTAGAATGATTGTACACATCTCGGATTCGTATTAACTTAAATCAGCGACACACGACGTGTAAACAAAACGTACTGTAAACCCTTCATAGTATTGGTGAACAAAACCTTCTTCCTCGTTCATGACTATTATTTTGATGTCAAAATATTAAAGTTGTTCTCTTACGAATCAATAACCCATATGAACGGTACAAAGTCAGCCAGATAGACGGAAGCAATTATTATAGGTTTGCAGAATTAAAGGAAGGTCTACACCTATTTTACCCATTTGTTGCCCTAAATAACACTATTCTATAGAAAACATATTTTCTTCATTCAATATCAACCGAAGTGCTCAAAGATGTTATTCATTAAATTTAAACAAAAAATAAAAAAAAAATTGACTTTCCACCCTCCTTTAGAAACACATTATCTTACAACAATGTTTCTACCTATCTATAATGATAATAATTGTTTATAGGAAACGAAAGGTAAGGACGCTGCTCGAAGCTATGGAGTTGCTAAAATATTTTTTGGGGCCAAATTTTTCCACCAAAGAAAGGAAGGGAGTACAATTGCACAGACGTCATAGGGCTATACTCTCCAACGTATTTGCACAAATTTATATTTTTTAATATTTAAGCTTAGAATTGGAGTTTCACGCCCTCTGTGATATATTAGCATTGCCTGGCATTATTTTATGTTATTGTGCATTTGGAAGGCAAATACAACTTTAATTACCGACAAGAAATATTTTTGTGAAAGCTAATATGATAATTGAGGCTATCAGCAAAAAAGTGATGTAACCCACAATTTTTGTTGGGTACGGGCTTGCTGTAAAATACATTCGTTACAATACGATCTTTCAATACAATATTAGCATAAGCCACCTTTTACCATCTACCAGGGGCACATGGCATAATAAAGCAAAACTAAAGAGCAAGAGTGGTGTTTGTGCATGTTTAGACGAGGACCCTTTTTGCCGCCTAAACCGGTTTTCGTAGACGTGCTTGGGCGGCACGCTTTGTGTGATTTTCCGTAACAGCTCGCTGCTACGCAATTCGGCATTCCCTCTCATTTTGAAATTTTTTTCATGATTGCAACAGCGCGTATTTACCTTATGTCCGGATATTTAAATGTTGTTACCCTTTTTTGTATGTAATATGCATATATGAATACAAATATGCTTAATAAATAATGAGAATGAGCGACAAAAGAATCCCCGTCTGAACTCCGTCTATGCATATAGATTTTACAGCTGACAGCTGTCTTTTTATGTTCTGGTTAGAAACTAACCAATACTCCTTCTTTCGGTATAGTGTACCAGAACTTAACTGACAGATGGTTGCTAATCAAATATTCAGAAAATCATTTTTCAACATGTTGCTGAAAAAGTTCTGATTAAGTGCATAGCCAGACATTGAGAAAACGGCCCTTAGTGTCAGAAAGTTACCCCATCATATAATATTGTGTGATGACTTGCTTACGTTGTTTGTTTGCAAGGTATATAGTTTTATAAAATACTTTATCAATCTGGTTACAGTTGTAGATTTTGCAATATAAGCAGTATTATAGTCACAACTTCATAACAGCCACTTCCAAGCTCGTCAGTGGCTTAAACCACAGATGAATCTCCTATCCACAAAATAGGAAGCGTGAGAAAAAGCCAGAGACTTGGAAGCGAAATGTCCTTAAATTGAAACGAGCAAAAAGTGAACAATATGAAAAACACAAAACAAACATTACTTCTGCGAAGACAAACGAAGAAAACAAGGAACGTCAGCTGGAAATATTCTGAATCTTTTACGCACTGGCAAATTTTGACACTCAGAACGCATTACTGTTCTCATTAGTAAAAGTGACAAACAAATGCAGAAATTACATGGAAAGTGGGGAATCAAGAAGACAAAAAACACATATTTACCATTTATTGAGTGATGATGGTGTTGACCCGCCGAAGTCGACAAAATTTTGTAAACAAAACACCAGACAGTAAGAACACAGAGGTAAAATAATTTATTGGCCAGTTTCTAGTCTATGAGTCTTATTATACCAGACATAAAAGTGAGAATTCTGATCTGAGGCTTAGACGAATTTATTCTCTTTGTAAAGATAATACACATGAGAGTTTTGTGATCTACTTAAAAATGTGATCTCTTCAATAACAAAACAAGAAAAAACGTTAGCTTCAGTTGCACCGAAGCTATAATACCCTTCACAAATACAAAGGATTCTTTACAATAACTTGGTTCCGATCTAATTTCGTGAAGATACCTCGTCAAATGAAAGAGGTTTCCATACGAGCAATTTATTCCGAACGATCAGTTTGTATGGCAGCTATATGCTATAGTGATCCGATAACATCCCGACAAATGAGCAGCTTCTTAGTGAGGAAAGGACAGGTGTGAAATTTCAGATCGATAGCTTAAAAACTGTGGGACTATTTTACGTATATACAGACGAATGGACGGACAGACGGACATGTCTAAATCAATTCAGCTCATCATGCTGACCATTTATGTATATATTTTATAGGGTCTACGTTGTTTCCATTTGGGTGTTACAAACTTCGCGGCAAACTTAATATACCCTGTTCAGGGTACACAGTTTTCTCAGTTCCGGTAGTACGGGACTTACTGAAAATAACAATTTGTTAAAACGAAAACGAAAATTAAAAATATATGCTTTCGACGTCACAGTCAACTAAAAAATTCAAAACAATTTCCGATTTATAACAAAAATTTGTTTCACTTTAAGCTCACTAACATGCTATGCCTACATATACATACATGATTACAAATATTATATAATATATTGGAGAATGTTTCTTAAATTGTGAAACATAAATTGCCATCAACAGGCTTAAAGATCATAGCTGATGCTTAATGGGTGGTTCCTGCTTATTGTTCCATCAGATTGTCCAAACTCATTTTACAAATGAACAATGTGAACGTTTGGTATGTATTTGCAAATGTGTGTATTTATGCGAGTTTGCTTAGTTATGGACTGTTTGATACATTTATTCATTTATTTCGTGTATTTATTGTTTTCTCTCAAATAAAAGCTCCAACAACAAGCCCAACACTTTCATGTTTTTATTTAACCAAACTTTTGTTTAATTTTTTGTTTTTGTTTTAAAAAGTGTTTTTGTGGTAGTAAGACGTACTCGTACGTATGTTGACTTGTTCTTCGAAATGTTTTTTTGTTATTGTCAATATTTTTTAGCTCTAGCATTTCGTTTTGTAGTCTTTACTTAAACCTTTACATTGACAACCCTCAGCTCCCTCGACCGCGCAGGTGATATTTATTTTAAGTATTTTTGCAACAGCATCGCAGTTACTTAGATTAAATTTCTACACAGCTAAACACGTATGCAAACGTACATAAGTATGTACATACGTTTTTTGAAGATTGTTGTGAGAACGTAACAGTAGATAATATACCAGTGAACTATAATAAACAAAGGTACAAATATAAGTGTCGAGCAATGTGCGCAAACAACAGTAGAACCTTGTTCTTTTTTATACTCTCGCAACAAATTGCACAGTGTAATAGTTTTGATCAACTAACGGTTGTTGGTATCACCTGAAATTAATCCAGACAATATATAACAAGAAAAAACGTTAGCTTCGGCTGCACCGAGGCTAAAATAACATTCAGATATCTTGTTATATTAGAAAGTTTTCCATAAAAAAAACTTGGTTTTGATTGATCGGTTTGTATGGCAGCTAAGTATATCCTATAATGGTACGATATCGGCGTTCCGACAATTGAGCAGCTTCTTGGTAAGGAAAAGAACGTGTGTAAAATTTTAAATCGATATTACAAAAAACTTAGGGACTAGTTCACGTATATACAGTCAGACAGACAAACTTCGTGACAAACAGAGTACAGTGATCATATCCATATTGTATCGATAACTGTAGATGGGTGGAATCGGAACATTGTCATGTATAGTATATAGGATAACTACACCATGTATAACTTAATACGTATTTAATACATACCGAAAATAAGTGCAATCGCAATATTCGCCCGCCTATTAACGAGAGTATAACATTTTTTTTGGCACGCTATTTTTTTGCATGTTACGAGATCATCTAGTGGTCGGCTGCACACGAACTTATTATCTTCCTTACTTGTATTAATTTTTTTATCATTGATAGACTACACTAGTTGTTTAAGCATTTTCATAATGTTGTTATGCAGTTTCTTCTTCAATCTGTAATCTCCGTACGACTTTGAGAGAGATCTAGTGTGTGCAAAGCAAAGAGATAATTCTCTAAATTATTGAATGAAAGCGCAACTTTTTGAAATTTGTTCGATCATTTTTGTTTTCTTCGTGATGCATTATTCGAACTTCTTGACAAAATCGTATCCGATGCGACGATACAATAAACGTTAAAGGTGTTGTCGGATCTTTATAATCGTTATGTGTTAATTATATCATTGAAACATATATTGGAAACATTTCATTAATTATTTCACCAGCATCAAAAGGTTTTACTCTGGTCAATTAACTTGCCGGTTTATAATATTAAACATAAGTATATAGTACACAATGTTCAATTTATACACATTCCTGTCTAGAACTAGAAATAGTTTTGTCTATTATTTTAAATAGTCTTAGACTGGTATGCTTCTTACCGAAATCACACTCATAAAAGTACTTATAGCAGTTGCCAATCTGCTGACTAGTTGGTCCCACTAGTTGTAAAGTATTTTCTAAGAAAGCAGCATTGCGGGGACGCTATCAGCGGTTATTTGATACTACTGCAAGCATTCATGTAGAAAATTATGTTTGCGTGAGTGTATATGTGTATGTATGAAGGTATGTACTTACATATATTGAGTTGGGGCATTTATATTTATATATCGGTTTTACTACAAATTTCAAAGTGCAAAACTTTTCTTTACTTATTCTTACTTATATTTATTTTTCTTGCTCAAGTTATTTTTATCATTTAATAGCAAAGGATATGTTTACTATATACCAGCGCATTCCTACATACAATTATTCGATATTATTTATCTATTCATACTCTTGTAACATGTTGCCCAAAGTACAAAGGTTTTGTTACCTAACGGTTGTTTAGATATATCAAAATGATCAGCAACGCATTGAGTGGCAGGTGTCTACCTACTTGTATACTCACGTCGTCACAGTATGGATATCGTAATTGTTTAAACTTTCAATTGGTAAAATACTGAAAAAATTTCCTTGTTCAACCCGTTACAGTGTCAATGCGTTTGGTTCTGTCAGCTTCAGCATTCACTTGTAATTTTAACTTTCTAGGTCTTTAGACTGACCTAATACCTTAAAGCAACGGTGCGAAAATGAATGAAATCGGGTAAAACTATACCCAGCCCTTAAGCAACAACGCCATAAATATTTTACTTAACGCCAAAGAGGTCTGGCGCTCATTTGAATGAATTAAACTGTAATGAATTATTAGCAGACTAAAGACATTTGACTTCGCGACTAAAATACTTGAGATTCTTTCAAAGTCACTCTTATAACAGAACATTATAGGTTGTATTTCACACTTACTCATCTCTCAATGATGGTTAAGCCGTAAAGTCACTCGAAGAAACGCGCGTGAAAGGATTTTAGGAAACCGTCTAAACCAGACGAGATGAGCAATAACAAACTATTCTATCGAAATAAGATACTATCTTCTCAAACGTCTTCAAGAGTGTTAACGATAATCAATGAGGTACTATTGATTCTCCAACCATTCTACTCCTCTTGTATACTGGAAATATGTAGGTAAGTAGTCGCGCTGGTGTAAATTGTACTTACAAAGTTCAGTATTATTTGTTACAAACAATTGTTAATTACTTAATTACTAGATACACACAGAGATTAATGTGTATGCCATCATTCAAGAATTTGCTTAACTTATTTTTTCCAAGTTTTTCAAGGCTTTTTCAATTCTGTGGGATTGTCACGATGTTTTATAGTTTTAAACTGTTGTCTCTTATTCTCGTAAACTCACTGTAACTACATTAACCTGCCGATGCAAATATTAATTAATATTTATTACTACAAATACAACACCTAATACTCGCTTATTCATTTTTTTTTATTTTTGCTATTATTATGTTATATTGATATTTTCTATTTTGTTTTGCTTTCTACTTAATTTTTTTTGGTTCTTAATAGCTAAACTTTACAGAGATGGTGGTAAGTATGGTATGTAAGTGTTTTACCTACTTTCGAGTATTTCTCACAACAAACTACACACATCCATGCACATACACCTAAAATGTATTACTATTTTATTAATATTATTGTTTATTTTCGAGCTCCTTTGGTTGCTATTTTTGTTTGGCGGAGTAATTTGGCCTGGTAGCCAGCTTCGTTCATCGTAGGAATTGCCGAGTTCATTTTTACTTTGCTTTCCTCGTCCCTTTCAGTTCAATTTCCTTGGTTGCTTCTTTGGTTCAATTTATTCAACTTTATTACATTTTTAGTTCTGATAGAACGGTTGCAGCTGATTCGATGACGACGTGGCGTATTGACGAGTTCGTATAATGTTCATGTGTATTTCGGAGGAGGCGGTGGAGTTGATGTATGGCGGTAAGTCAGCGCCCGCGCTGACGCGACAATTTATGAGGTCATATGGGCAGCAGGACTGGAAAAAATAATACAATATTATAGCGTACAGTGGCATTACGTGACAAAAGTTGAGGCAGTGTCGGTTGTTGCACCTCACGATTCATATGTTTCTCCCGCATGCAACCGTTTACGCAACGCATACGCCAAGTGACGTTTGAATGCTCATGATCGCAGTTTCTACACAATTTCCGAGTAGTAAATGCACATTTTGATTGTGTATTTTAGAAAATCCTCAAGAAGTTTCAAAATTAATGTGAATAATATATAATCTAATACAAGGTCTTCCACGTGGACTAACCTTCGCGCCCGGAAACTTTCAATTGTCGCTCAGTGTATGCGTGCACCCACCAGAATAGGCAAACAAACTTAAATTGCCGTTATTTATACATTTACATATATATCTATTTATATTAAGCAGACATCAGACATTGTATCCAATATAATATACAATATATATCATATATACATTTTTTTAATTGTTTTGCTGAACCATTCAAAGTACACAGATCCACGCATACTCATATGCACACAGTAATAAGAGATGTAATTGTGAAAAGTGTGTAAAAATCGAATAATAACACAAAATAAACAAGTACAAAGCCGTTGTGCGAAAAGCTTATACTCGCTTATAAACACAACAACATATTTTTTAACAATTTGTGTACACCAACATGCGCATATGGTTGTGTACGTGTAAGTGTGTGGCAGGTGCATGGTGCGAGCTTATTCGCCTGAAAATATGTGAAGTTGAGAGTGCGGTTATATGTTTGTGTGTGCATTGTCACGAATACAAACAGTACTCAACAATAATCAATGCAAAACAAGAAAGTCATATACATAAAGTCTACGATAAATACGATAAAAACGAGGATTAAATTTTGAAGACAAAGGTCGATCAAAAGGTGCGTTAGAATATTGGAAAATATTGAATAAGGCTTCTTTCAAATGCAACACAAATTTGTATGTTTTAAAAATGTCTCGAATTGTTTGCATACCCATTCTTTTGTTTGTAATTAATGTTGTTGTGTCTAGCATTTGGATGGTGAGAGGCAACGTATCAGAAATGTGAATGCCAGCTGCGAGTTGGAAAATTTTGATGAGCTTGATAATTTTCTTAATGTTTTGTTTGATATATTTTTTAAATTATTCTATGCATCTACTTGCACACACAGAAGTGTATTTTGCTTTTGCTTTTTCTTGGAGCTCCCAACCACTGTGTCGCAAATATGTACATACGCACGTATGTATATAAGCATGCACTGGCCATATGTAGAATGGAATTTCAATCGTTTTAATCTCATATCCACGTTAAATATGAGGTGCAGCTTCAGCTATGGCTCAAGGCCACTGAAAGTCTTTAAATATATAAAAAAAATCAAGTAACATTGATCGCTGTTTGTCTTGATAACGCAAATATGTGTAAGCAAGAGGACTATGATCATCAAGTAAATGCTAACAGCTTCGATTCAAAAAGATTGCACAACTGTCTGTGGGATGTTTGAATTTTTAATAAATTTGTAATTTCTTTAAAGGCGACAGAGTAATCTACCCAATTGAAATTCTATAATTCCGCGACACTTCCTTAAAGGAGCACACAAAAAAATGCAAATTTCTACACATCTGTGTACGACTAATAATGATTGATGGAGTTTGTGTCAATAAATATGTCCAATTTCGTTTATGATTGTATACTTGTTTGTTATGTTTAAAAGAAGACAGTAAACACTTTCGATTTCATAAAAAGAATGAAATATTAAAAAAATCTGATTTTAGAAGCCACGCCATAGAAATACATCTCCAGCGTTTTCAAAGTCAAGCGTTTTTCTGAGATCTACATATTGAACTTAAAATCATCTCTCCTTATTAGAACAGCTTACAATCAAAACTTAAGATGTCTTATAACGCTAATAATTAAACGAATTATTTTGTATTCGCAGAGGAGAATTATACTTAAAACTTTGATTTACTAGTGGAACGATAATCTTGTGAAGTTTCACAAGTATGCAAACTTATATCACTGTGGCATGTGCTTATGTCTCGTGCAACATATTATAAAGTCACGGTCCTTTTCAAATGTCAGTGGTCATAAAATGAAGTCTTTTCGGCTAGTTCATTCCGTCAAGAAAGCAAAAATCATATGAAATCACCTTCAATAGAGTATATATTTAAAGAATGTTGCCATATTTTTAGTGAAATGCTCGACTTCAAAAGCATTTCTCTATTAAAAAGTGCCAGTGTTGCTTACAAGCGGCAAACAATATATACAATACAATTGTATGTAAATACGCATATGTTAACAATGCGATCTAATCTTCGAAATTCCTGACTTACCTTCAGTGTTTTCTTGAAAGCTCCACGAAAATCACGATTGAAGTAGGCATAAATGATGGGATTCAAAGCCGAATTGAAATAGCCAATCCAAAAGAGTATACCAACAACAATGCGCGGTGTGGTGCAACTGGAGCAAAGTGTGGACGCTAAATACCTGAGAACAAATAACAAACAAATCACATTTGTTGAATTTTGTATAAAAAAAAGGAAGAGCACAAATGCACTAACAAATTTACATCAATTTTTTGAATTATGCAAGAAGATTAAATTATGAAACACAATGAAACAATTTTTTCGGGCAGAATAAACAGTAAAAAACTTATTTTTGTTCCAGATTCAGCATATCATATATTCCTCAAGATTACACATTACTTTTTTAATTTGAATTTTAACTTTTCTGCTTTTTTCTTCTTTCTATCCCGTAGATCTGTGCACCCCTCTTCTTATGTAATAAAACACCATATTCTAGAGCAAGTTTTAAACTATATTGATTTGGGAGTTAATATGGACCCTAAGCTTAATTTCAGTCTTCATATTGATACCATGGTCTTGAAAGCAAAAGCTGTCCTCAGTTTTGTTAAACGTTGGTCTAAAGAATTTAGAGATCCGTATATTACTAAAACACTTTATACAACTTTGGTTAGGCCTATATTGGAATATGGCTCTGTGGTATGGAACCCTAGCTACCAAATCCATTCTGACAAGTTAGAGTCGGTTCAAAAACAATTTTTACTTTTCGCCTTAGCGCATTTCCGATGGGATGCTAGGGTAAGTCTACCTCCATACACTAGTCGTTTAAAACCTATAAATCTACCTACACTTTCTAGTCGTAGGGAAATGCTTGGCATAATATTCTTAGTGAAACTTTTGAATGGAACTGTTTGCAGTTCTTTTCTCCTGTCTGAAATTAAATTTAATATCCCGGTTCGCCTTTCGAGGCAGTTTAGACCTTTACTGCTAAAATCCTGTAGATCAAATTTTGAACTAAACGAGCCATTCCGCCGTATATGTCATGATTTTAATTCTCATTCCAGCACATTTAACTTATCTGACTCACTTTTCAAAATTAAAAAGACTTTATTGTTTTCTCTTAATAAATGAAAATGTAACAATTTATTATATTGTAACTTTAGATCTTAGCTGTTGAAATTTTTGTTTCTGTAGCTGAGCAGTTTTAGATCTCAACACTTAAAAAACTCTCTTGCCTTTTCTGACTCGGCTAATTCCGCACGTATGCGGATTGCGCCCCTCGCGTCGGTTGGGCGGGAGGAGGGTAATCGTTGGGTTTATTATTATTATTATTATATGGATAGCAGTATATATGTACTTAGATTCAAAGGTACTTCCATATATGCATATGTATTCTATTTCTCGGTCTATTATAGTTTCTACCAAATTCTATCTTTCATAACGGAAATTAATTCTGTTGATTAAGTGTTGACAAAATTTAAATACCAAATCATTTCCACATATATTGAAGCTTGGCCTAAGCGAATTTGAGAAAAGGAACATATTTGTTTGTATTACAGTTAAAACAATTAAGTTTTTTTTCAATTACCATAAGAAAAATGGCGCCCAACAGAGTAGAAAAGCACTCATTATTATTCCTAGCGTACGTGCGGCCTTACGCTCCCGGCGCATTGTTGTAATGGTCGACTGTTCAACTTGGATACTCGGTCGAGGCTTGGGTATTTGGCTAATCTGCAAATGTTTGTCTAGAAGGAGAGCAGCAACTTTGGATCTGAAACGAGGAGAAAAAGGGTAACACACCAGCATTAATGAGTAGTAGAAGAAGAAGGCTCTTCAAAACTACTTAAAAAGAAGTAAGGGATGGCTAAGTTCGGGTGCAGCTGAACATTTAACATTCTTGCAACATGCAAGGATCAAAGTCGGCGAAATATTTATGTTGCGAAAGAACTCAACATTCATTATTCGACGAAAACGTGAATGGATAACAATCAAATTTCATATCTTATTAAATTATATTAAAGGTCATATACTCACTTAATTTTATTAATATATTTTAATCAAGTTAACGAAAGTTAAATTAAAATCATCCTTAAACGGTAAATATGTGATATAACCTTAATCGAAGAGGCTAAATTTAATATATGGATAGGCTAAGTTTTCACCCGATATTATCCATTTTAGCGACAAAGATGCACTGTTATGATTAAAACAGGTATGAGGTCACTCGGAAGTTCAAAAATCATTGTATTAGGTATCTGGCGCTAAGGGAAGCTTTCATCCGATTCAATCTATTTTAACATATAGGCATACTGTTATCAGAGAAGATTTGCTTCGAATTTCAATATCATGTCTCACAGATTGACCGATGTTTTCGATAAAATGTTCGCTGTATAAACGCTGGGGTGCACATATTCGGTATATGGGTGCTTGAACAGTTGTACTTCGATTTTGACAGTTTTTCGTCATAAGGTGGTCTACTTTAAGTGCACTATTTGGGAATGTTTTATCCTGATACATTCATTGTTGCTTGATTTGCATTCTGGAAAGTGAAAGAATCAGATGGAATTTAAAATTCTATTATATAGGAAGTAGGCGTGGTTGTAGTCCGATTTCGCCCATATTCACACTGGGGTATAAAAATGGCAAGATAATAGCCCATACCACATTTAGTCGATATTGGTCGAGTAGGTTCTGAGACATGAACTTTCACTTAAATGTGAGTCGAGCCACGCCCATCGTCTAATTTTTACCCCGGCCCCTATAAAGCTCTCCCATTTGATCTCAGTTGTAAGATTTTATGTTTTTGACGCATTTATTTATTGATATCGCGCTTTTAGTAGTTTTTAACAGTACGGTTATGTGGGGAGTGGGCGGGATTTTCATCCATTTTTACAATGTTGGTATTGGCGCTTAAGGGATTTGTTCGAAGCGAATTTGATTATTATGGCTTGACTGGTTTGGTAGATATGTACATTAAACCTCTTAAAGGGCGGGACCATGCCCACAGGTGCCGCTTACTACTGCGCTTCCCTTTGCTAAATAACAGTTGTATATATTAATTAAATGCTTAGTTATGGCAGTTTATAGATTTTCGTTTAATGGCGTTTATGGGTGTCGCTCCGGTACGATTACTTCGATCTGCGAACTCAATCGCACTTTTTCATTACGATATTTCATTTTTTACTCAAGTTACAGCTTACATGAACAGACGGATGGACGAACGGACAGACGGTAGCCCGGATTTCAACTCGTCTCTTCATCTTGATCAATTATTTATGTATAACCCTATATCTATCTTTATTAGTTTTAGGTGATACAAACAACCGTTAGGTGAACAAAACTATTATACTCTGTAGCAACACACAAACAAAAGATAGAGAGCATTATATCTTTCGTATATAATACGAAATTCAAAACCAATTTTTTAAGAAGGAATCTAAATACATTAACCACTTAACTATTACCGAAGTCATAAGCAGATTGATTGTCAAATTGCATCACTTGCTAATCCAATTGGACACAGAGAGCAATTCCAAAAATAAAATCTAACATTCAACAGAAGGAGTGAGTAACTGAAAACATACAAGTATAACCAAAATATACGAAGTAAGTAAATACTTTCCGGTTTTAGGGATTCAAAACTTACCTGTAGACAAGCCGTTCCTGTCGTACAGCCTCTTGATAAATGCGATAGTACATGAAGACCATTACGAAACCAGGTATCCAGAAACTCATCGAGGAACTAACAATAGCGTAGGCCTTGTTCACTTTAAATTCGCAAATCTGTGCAGAAGATGAGAAGAACCGAACGAATTAAACCCCTTAACAGGAAAAAAAACTTACTGAGAACAGCAAAGAAAATTTTTAAAGGTTTGCAACGTTTGATAACAATGAATACTTGTCACACTCTTTAATATTGCCCAACTAACACCTAACGGTGCTAATTTAGACTAGGTGTTCTCTAAATAAGTACCACATCAAAATTGCTAACTCAAACATCCAACCCAACTTTACAATAAAATAACGTAATTGACAGTGATTTCAGAGAGAATGCGGAACGCAGTGAATAACTGGCAATTTCTTTCGTATCTTGCGCTTATTAAGAGAAAGCGTCGATTTTAATTACTTTCAAGATATTCCAAAAGTTTGTGCGGCATTGCTCACAGCTTCCGAACGCGCCAGTGATTTTGGGTTAGCGATTTTTTGAGAGCTACTCATCCTGTTTGTTTTCTTTCTGTTGAGTCTGTTCTATTTAATTAAGGCGAGCTATTTCGTGGACTGGTTATTTAATTTACTTTAATGAGTGATTTAATTTTACTTATAGCACATAGACAATTTTTGATTAATTTTTAATGTTAAATTTAACACAATTTAAAGTTTCAACCTTTGCTATTATGTAAATAATTCATGGAAGTATATTTCTATTTTTGAATTTTAAATCATATACCTTCATACGTTTATAATACAGTCGTCACAACCGAATGATTGGAGTTCTGGAATTCTGCTCACAGGCTCGTGTGCTAAATGACTGAGCATGTTCTGGCAAAAAGAAAAGCTTCTTATAAACTTGTCACCTCGGAGGATCAGTAAATCCTGAAAACTCTTGGATTTGTCGAATAAAATTATGTGTACCTATGTACCTACTGAAGATATAAAACCCAACTGTCTGTATATATTGTATAATTCTGCATGATAATTTAAATGTCCGTTAATTCTCCAAATTATATGTTATTGTTTTGCTCTATTTCTTCACCTTTCATTGCCTTCGTCGAAAGTGTTTAATCTCTGAGCCGAACAACAAACGTTAAGGTGTTAACTGAATTGTTAAATGAGCAAGTAAAACTGTCAAAATAGTAGAGAGGATAAAGGACAGCAGTATAATCGAAGAGGCGACGGAATCCATATTTTCTAGAAGTGATTAAAATTTTCTTATATTGATCTATCAAAGCCTCTACTCTATTTTAAAATCGAAAGAAATATTTGACCAAAAAATCTTTTCTGCCCCTATCTGTAAAGCAGTTGTTGTTGCTATGCACGTGATGTTGGCTTTTGATGAAATTTGCAATTTTTTCGTCATCAATTTAATCACTTTTGATGGGTGCGTGCAAATTAAATTTGATTTCATTCGCGGAATATGAAAATTTTACGTGACATCAAGGCCAGACTGAATGACTAAAGCAATCGAATGGCCACTAAGCCCGTATCTCTGTTAAGTTGTAGCAACATACACCGTTAATGCTGGATAAATTCACCGACGTTCCGCCCTTACTTACCGTCCGTATTAAACATAGATATCCATGGCAAGGATGACATGATGCGAGACTCTCTCATTTTCGCTGATTTTTCTGTTATTACCTTTCCCTGATTATTAAAATCAGGGAATTTCGAACTGCTGATGTCAAAAAAGGCGGAATGCCAGAAATAAACCTACTAAAAATAGCTAACAAAAGCAGTGCGAAACGAAATTTCAAGGAACGACACAAATACTTTTGAATAACGTGCAACTAAATTTTACGTTTATTATAAAACCATGATCTTTTATTATGATATGTATTTTTTTATGTTATAGGTATGATTTTTTAAAAATTTTGTAATATAAATACAAGTATATAGGGATGTATATGCGTTATATAGGCCTACTCGGGGACGGAGCACCTAAAAATAATATCGATATGCAAAATACCCACAAGTTTTTTTTATAATACCCAATCCATTTTCGTTCGACAGTGGCATGATTGGCAAATGTTATAAAAAATGTGGGTTTTGACAGCTCTCTCTCGATTCAAAGAGTCTCGCATCATTTCATCCTTGTCCATGGTATTAAACAAAATTTGCCAATAGTTATACCCGAAGCTGCAACGTAAAAGTCAGTTGTTCTCTTTTGTTTTCATTTGACCAATATTGCCATTACTCAATATGTAAACATTGTTTTTCATACATCAAGCTTTTAAGTTATAATTTTTCATGATGTAAAACATCAAAACTAAAATCCGATTATTAAAAATAGTCTACCTATTTAAAAATAATTGCATTCGACACTAATTTTGAGTTATTTTAAGATTATTTCAAATATATTATTGTTTATTTTTTAATTACTACAACATATCGAGACTGACAACCCTGTGTTTAAGAGAGCAATCAGCTGACTCTTTTCTACGGGAAAAATCCAATTTTAGCGGATATCCTAACGTACAGGTGGTGAGTGTTCATTTACATTGCGCTTTCATAGGATAGGTCAGCTGATTCGGTCTACGGGTTTGCGTCGGTGTCTTCTTACAGCATAAGCCTTTCGGGTTTTTAAATTTACTATTGATCGATTTCATGTGCAACGAAGACAAGAGAGTATCAGCTGAGGTGACAGAAACATTACTCCGCCAAACTTTTCCGCTATTACAAAAACATTGCCATTTGATATCCAATAATATTTTGGTGCATTTTTATATGCACATAGAGAATTTTTCATTCATTTTATTCAACACGGCGGGCGGTAATCAAACGATTGGATCAGTGCCTTTAATACGAAACCGGAAGATATAATCATGAGCGTCGGGCTTTTTAAGCCCACTTATTAGTACGAATCGACCAGTCGATCGTTTGCTTGAATATACATATTTTCAATAAGAAAACTTATTTTGCAAGTGACAATAATGGCAAATAATAGAACGCCAGAAGAAGGGGTATCATCTATCAGGGTGCAAATATCGTATACCTCTTCAGATTTCCGCGCCCACAAAGCGAACGACAGGAGAGCTAACAGGAAGGAAACACTCAACCGAAAGTCTCCTTGCTTGGGCGACTTTTGGTTCTTTTGCAGCAAACATTCATTCATACTTTATAACTTTCACATTCAACTATTTTTTTAGCGCAAGTGGTTGGAATTTTAGTTTGAAATTCGCAACAGTTATCTTCGTACGTTTCTATTTTAAATATTTCAACTAGAGCAATACAACAGGCATCTAAAAGAAATGAAATCAAAGCATAGTACTGGTACTAAAGTCAAAAATGCTCCGCTTTTTTGGTTTGCCACTTAGCGAACCTATTAGAATGATACTTAATGATGTTTTTAATCTAGTTAAGAGTTAAAATACCACTCGCGCTTTAACTGCCTTCATCCTCAGCCATTAACCTAAGCTCGTTCAGAATTTTGCTGATTAAAACATTCTGCAAACGACAAGCGAGTTAATTTTACATTATGAAAAGTTTTAATTGATATCGAAACAATGTAAGCACTGGAAGACTTTAAAGCAAAACTATAACACCACCCACATTGACAAATCGTTCGTCGCAGACGCAAACAGTTCGATTTCCCGCTGTAAGGGCCTTGGCTGTACCTAGGCTGTTTGGATTTTGGATTGTTTCAAATATTCATTATACTACAATTATGACTTAATTAAACAGAACACCTATTAATAGCTTTTAGATAATTTCATATCCGTTGTGCAGCTTTATCGCGAAACCACGTGTGTGCGTAATTTTGAATTAATTCAAATTCAAATTCACTAATAGGCTGTTTAGTGAACTTTGCTGAGTAATACGAGTATACACAAATTAAAAAAAAACGAGACTCAAAGTAAAAAATTTTTTAATCCCAATTACCGGATTAAACAACAAAAAACGGGAAAAAAGAAAAATAATTATTTATTAATCACACAAATCGGATAAAAATTTTATTTTTATTATAAATTAAAAATTTAAATTATTAAATATATATTTTTAGTCCTAAATACCTGATTGAAACTGACAAAATTTTATTCCCAAGCATATAGTTAAGAGTTAAAAAATATTTGTTTTTGAAATTAACAATTTTTCGTGTTTACGATTTTTTAATTTCTACATCAGCATTAAAAATTGAACATTTAATTTTTATTCCAAAATTTTTGAATAAAAAAATTTGCAACCCTGACAAGCGGTGGCGTTACTCGAAAGTCCACGTACTAATAGAAATGAATACATTCGTAATATTAGAAGAGAGGGACGGTTATCAGTCAGTTCCAATCGCATCCAACAAAGCAAATATTTTGGCTCAATTTAATTGCAATTTAATCAAAATTATGAATTGAGAATATTATGGTAAAAAGTCAGGCATTGTTATTGTGGGTATAACTGACCACCAGCTCAAGAATGGACCTCAGGAGGTATTGGCAATTAAAATTAAATGCATATAACATTTATTTTTATAAAGGCATAAGAAGCAAAACTTCGTCAAGAGAAACAACTTTATGGTAATACATGTGAAATGCCTCGGGCTACCAACAGTTTCATTTGAAATAATACACACACTGAAACACCCGTGCACAAGTATATCCCCATACATGACAATGAAGATTACTAAGCATATATATACACACACACGCAAACAGTCAACAGGATGTCGACGCCGCATTTTGACACGCTGCGGAAGTCAACCAAGCTAATTATTATTTCACAATGCCATTTGCAATTACTATGCTCTTAGTAGTCGGCAGTTAGTGAGGCAAGTGCTGTGCATGTTTAGGTTGATAGGGCTATAGGCCGCTAGGTCGGTTGCAGTGTGGAGGTACATAATCAATTTAAATGGCAAACAAAGGAAACACAATTTCATCTAAAGGACCATCCATAATGGCGCATACATCAATATCGAAGTACAATGAAAGTGAGATTTAATATGAATTTAAGTTTGCTTGAAGGTTCCATATCTGTCATTATGTCTGAAATACAATATTGTGCACACACTGCCGCATACCTGTGTCATCCAGGGTAAAATATACACTTACGAATTGGCAAACCCACTACAGTCTCCCAGAAATGATGACCCTACTGCCTTACAGCGAATAAATGCATACAAACATAAGAACATATGCTAACGCAATTAAATTCAAATGTTATTCTGAGACACTTCTTGTGACAGGCTACTTGACAAGTGAAATTCAAGGTGAATGCATTAGACTGCTAGTATGAGTCAACTGCAAACTTTGTAATCGAATTTACAATAACATAAATTTCGTTATTGACAGAGAAGAAAAAGTTGGAACACCCATCCTCAATCAAGAATAAGGCATTTAAAATTTCATTATTTTCGATACTCTTTACATTCTTGATTATATGAGTCAATCAATGGTTTTAATAAGCTAACATTCAATATTATTGTGTATATATGGTGTATTGTGAGTCAACAATTTATAATAGTGTTCACCTAAAAGCTGAACTATTTGTTGCCCAAATGTTTACATAGAGGAGATTATTGATTTAATCACACTTATCCGACCTTTTGCTTGTGCTACTCGAATAAAAATTGGCATCTCTTCAACTGAAGTTAATTTGGACTCAAGTCAAAGCAATTTTTTTTATAAATGTTTTTACAAAAGGATAAGATCACACCAATACTATGGATATGGTCGAATCCTCAATAAAGCACCTTTTGGTATACATACATATGTATACATCTGTAAAATTCACTGTTTGTACTTAAGCACCAAAGCAAAGCAGGAGAGCTTCGCCATCGACATGTATATGTGCGTACATGTGTCCTACAAATAAAGAAGGAACTATTTGAATGATAGATATTATTTCAATATGTTGCATCTATATTGTATACGGACTGCGTTGAAGTATTGAGACAATATAGAGTTTCAGTCAGGAAGCTCTCCGTTTTTGTCTGAATTATTACAGAGTTTGCTTGTTAATGTACAGCAAGTATGTGCATTTAATGTAAATATGAATATATAATGCATACATTTTAACAAGCATAACGCACTTAAGCGGTAATGGCGCTACAGCAAGGCAAGGATGACGGAAAATCACATTTGGAGCGAAAAATACGGAAAACGCGGAAAATTGACATTAAGCAACTTACTCGTGCACGTTAAGAACATAAAAGGCATAAATAATTTTATAGTCGTAGACTTTATATCAAGTATATTTATGTGTAGGTATATATACCCTACAGAAAATTCATCTAATTCATAGAATATTTCTCATAAGTTCATGGCTTTTCCAGAGTTTTCGGTGTTATTTCAAATTAAAAACTAGCTAAGTTCGATTTATGACCCATCGATGTGTCCTAAAAGTCAGTAATTTTTAGAAGGTCATCTAATAACTTTGTGGCTATTTAGGTAAACTCAGTTTGGCGAGAGGCGGTCTCCTCGTGTGTATTCGTTTTTAGCTCATATACTCTTTAAAGCCATTCTCCAGTGAGTGATGTGCTAAGATTGTTTGCAAGAAAAATCTAACTCATAAATATAAATGTCAAATTCCGTTACATATGAGACACCTGCATCAACGTTTCTTTTACCAAATAACCCATTCATGCAAGGGCTGACGGCAGGCAGCTGCAACATCGCAGAACCGTCAATCCTTCGTTACGCTTTACAATTTCGTACTCACATTTCATGCTCTCTTGCTTATCTTTCTTTCACACAGGTTTACTCGTATAAGTACGTTTATAAAATAGGCAATGAGTACTACTTACGTGTGGATTGCTTTTTAAATATTTCCAATTTTCCTCCGTCGTGTACCAGCCTGAGCAAATCGGTAGAAATGAGAGAAGCGCGGGCAACAGCCACACCATTAAGAGCATAAAGTACACACGCCCCTGCGTCATAATCAGTGGATAATCGAGCGGTTGAACAATCGCAAAATATCTGCAATGCAAGTAATTTCTAATAGTCTCGCAAAATAGTATTCTAATTCTAAACATAACCCTCAAAAACAAATCCATACGTAAGCGTTTTTGCGAACTGATTATTTCTACTTACCGATCCACGGATATGCAGCAGAGATGCATAATACTCGCCGTTGAGAAGTAAACATCGAAACTGTTCCACACATCGCACATTACGGCGCCGAACATCCATTTCCCGGTAATCTCGACGGAAGCGTTGAATGTCATGGCGCACAGGGCCACCAACATATCAGCCACGGCCAATGAAACCACAAAGTAATTCGTGATAATACTATGGATCGAACGCAAAAGCAAAACAAAATAATGGATCAGCAAAATGAAGATAAAATTTTAAACTTCCGAAAATTTGTGGTAAATTTTCAAGTACAGCTGTTTATTTGAGGAAATTTATTACTTTAACTGGAAGCGCGAAATAGAATTTTTTGGAATGCGGTAAAGCATTAAATAAATTCCCAATATGAGTATATAGTTATATACCATTAAAGTTGGATTCATCTACATTTAAATTTTATCAGCTTATTTATAATCAGATTTCGTAGATCAAATCTTAGCTCGAACAACATACTACCATTGCAGACCAATGAATATTTACACTTCCACTTGCTTGTGCTTTTGTAGGACACCTGTCTGCCCCGATTCGCCTTTATGAATTTATAGTATGAATAGACAAGTGATAGGAGAAACATACAGACAAGTCTAACAAAATACAAGAACTAGCAAAACATTTTGCCTTGAATGCAAACCGTTGGTTGGAACGTTTTCTTTTTGTTTTTGCTAGCTAAAGTTTACCAAGTGAAGAAAATGTGTATTTGTGTCCTGAAAATTACTTAATGAATATATTGTATATGTCAGTATATCTGCGCATCAGATTTATTTTCCTTCTGAGTTTGCTACAAGAATAACGGTTCACAATCAGCAGACTCTCATGGAAAGTTTTGCTTTTATACTCTTGCAAAATATTGCTACCGAGTAAAATAGTTTTGTTTACCTAACGGTTGTTTGTATCACCTATAAATAATCGAGTTAGATACAGGGTTATGTATATATAAATGATCAGGATGACGAGACGAGTTGAATTCGGGTGCGTGTCTGTCCGTGCAAGCTGTAACTTCAGTAAGAATTGAGAAATCGTTATGAAACTTTGTACATGTGTACTCGGGCAAAAAAGAAAGGACGAGTTGTAGAAAATGGGCGTGGCCCCGCCATTTAATAGGTTTAATGCACATATCTCTTAAACTATTAAAGCTATAATAACCAAATTCACTTAGGACAAATAATTAGGAGCTCCTACCGACAGTGCGAAAATGGGGGAAATTGGATCATAATCCAGCCCTCTCCCTTATAACGGTTCTGTTAAAAACTACTAAAGGCGCGATAAATCATCATCATCATTTCATCTTACGCTCAAAAATTGTCGAAATCTGACTATGACTTTTCAAGAAAATATCGGTCAATCTGGAAACATTTTTCTTTGTCAAAAATGGGAGAGAAACATGACATATTTGAGAAGACAAAATTTACCTCCCAAATTGTTTCAAAGATATAGGATTCTGATTGCAATTAAAATCTTCTTTGAGGCGCTGCCGGCACAGAATGAGTACAGACTGGTACAGGAATAATTTTAATGCTGACCTAAACTATACAGATTACATTGGAAAGTGACAAAACATAATTAAATTTGCAAGCATTAATATAAATAATAAAAAATGTGCATCTGCTGGAGGACAATTAAGAAAGTTCTGTAAAATTTCAACAATTAAAATCAAGTAATTTAACTAATTAAGCGAATAGTAGTTCCAAATCCTAGTGTGGGTATACATTAGCTACAACATGTTATTTAAACTAATTAAAGCCATAAACCTTATGTAGCCTCTGCCTCACAAATTCTTTAATATCGTGTCATCATTTATTAATGGTATTTGTAATTTGCCATTTTTATTCACGCAACCCGAAAATAAATACCTGGATCATCCACACACATACTTGTATGGTCTTCTACGTGTGCTTTGTATGTGTGTAAGCATTTGAGTAGGAATTATTACTAATTAAGCTTAATTTCCCATTTCTGCTTGACGGCGTGCTTCTTGCTTGGCTTACTTTCTCGGCGCCGTGAGCACCACGTCGTTACGGGAAGGTTAAGTACGAGCATTCTGATGTAAATGGAGCAACAGCGAAATGCTGCTCAACCAAATATACTGTGGCAAAAAAGTTTGGGTAACAGGATAAGCCATAAGAGCTGCTATTTAACTTGTCCGTCCTCTATCATGAAGCACGCTTGTTCGCGTTAATGCGGTGCCTGGGAGTTACATTTCCATTCGACGCTGTCTTCCCACCATTTTTTGCTGTTTTACACTACGTTCAGTCTGTATGCCGCCCGCTTGCCAATTCCCAACGTCACATTAAATCTGTATTCAAATGTCACATTGCCAAATGACACAAGGTACACGAGCTCGGCTATGTCAATGCAGACACAACTCCTCCTCAGGCAGCGACCGCCAAAGCAGTTAATACTTTGTTGCGCACGCCTACAAAACGCCTATTATATAAGTATGTGATGCGCATACCTGAGGGTATGCTTATTACATCTGAAAGTGTGCAAGATCTTCTAATAGCTTTAAAGTCACCTTTCGGGCTAACAAAGATTTGTATGCCTTCTAGCCATATACTTTTATAAGATCAAATACTATCGCAACAATAATACCGCTGGAACCCGAACGGGATTAAAGACAGAATTCACATAAAAAGAACGGAATGACAGCGAATTCAACATTTACATTTACATTTCTACTTGTTTAATTTATTCTCGACTGCGCCCATCCGCCCTCTGTGCTTGCTTGCTTACCATATACATATCCCATATATCTACGTCTGTGTGTCGGTATGTTTGCGTGCCGTTATCGACGTGAAATTTTAATATCAGTTCAGAAAATTGACAAATTGCTAACGGTAAACAGAGAACAAAAAGGAAATTAGAATAAAACCAATTGGAGTGAAAGTGTAGTGGAAAAGGTGTTATCAGCAGACGGTTACCGGTGCGTATGAGTAATCAAATGTTGATACAGCAAATACTCAAGCGGAGTGGCATTAAATTACGTGACTATGCGTTGTAAAGCTCACGAATTGAAATAAAATCACCTTAATGTGTATTTTCTGCTTGGATTGTTCAACATAACGAAGCTTTGCCCACACGACTCCAACTTTTGAAGCCGCGTTCACCTTTGTTAATGCTTTCGATTTCAATATTATAGTATTCACTCACGAGTAATGAATTATGTTGTATACTAAGTGCACAAATGTCATATTATGGTACCAAGAAGAAAATTAGTTTTAAATAGTAATTAACAATATTTTTCTCTTTTTATGGAAATTCTAGTAAACAATCTGTAATTTGTAAAAGTTTAGGCGGAAAGTTGGCCCAACCGATGCTTTTTTGTTGGATTTTAATTGAAAAAGATGCAAAAGAATATCAGTACAAGCCTTAATATTATAAAATAAAAATGAGGATCGAACAAATTTTGAATTGCCTTCATTTTATTTGACATGGAAATAATCACGATGATTGTACATTTTTGGCAAGAAGAAACTTCCAGTATTTTATTTAGCTATAAAGAAGCAATTTACCTCATAAGCATACAGTCACAAAGTGATATTTAATTTGACAGTAAGGAACATTTAAGTCACTTGTTTAAATTCTGAAAAGAGAAAATTCGTTTCATTAGCTCCTGCAAAAGGGCTTAGATATACCGTAATCCAGGCCTTGTATTTCCATTCAGTTTAGCTTTAAGCGTACACACATACCCACACAAACAGCGTGCGAGTGTTTATCCTTATAGACAGCGCAATTGTAAATTTCATTAGTTGTCACTTCTTATGAACATATGGTATTTGCAGTGCTTACTGGAAAGAGAACTCAAATCGAGGTTTGCGTAATTTGCCAATGGTTTTACAAATAAGCGGTTATTTACTGGCGCGCAAAAGTGACTACGCGTGATGGCAATAACAGCAGCACTGGCAACATTAGCAAAAACAAAAAAATCCAATAACGGCAATCAATAAGCGACAGTTTCCACCAGCTTAATGACTTAATCAGACAATATTTCAATGTAGCACCAAATGAGTTCTTAAAATTTGACAAACGTCATTGCCAATCTCTGCACCGAACTCCCCGAACTTCGGAAGACGGAAATTTTGATATTTCAATTCATTTGATGCTGGTTTCGTCTGTTCTTCATTTTGTTTTACCTTTTCTCCTGTCCAACTGGTTGTGTTCATTCAAAAATATTACGCCTCATTTTATACTCTTGCAACAAGTTGCTACAGAGTACAATAGTTTTGTTTACCTAACGGTTTTTTGTATCACCTAAAAATAATCGAGTTATATAAAGGGTTATAAAGGATGATTTTTTTCGAGGTATAGAACTTTAAGTTGGCATTACTGTTCAAGATGGCGACCGATTTAACAGCTGTCAATTGTTTTATTCTTAGCATAGATAAAATGATCCGAAACTCCTCTCTTTGCCTTCTGAGAGAGCTCATGAACTTTCAGTGCTGCCAAGAAAAACCACGAGTTCATGAGCTACAAAACTAATGACCATCAAAACAATGAACTACCACTAAGAATCCCGCAGAAATAAATTGCGAAATCAGTGGGTAATTTGTGAGATCAAATTTTTTGTTGAATTTTACGTATATACTGTATATATATACTTGTATGTATATTTGTCGATTTAGCCATGTCCATCTATCTGTCCATCTGCATATCCGAGTACTAGACCCGCAGTGTTTGAGGTATCGATTTGAAATTTTACATACGTCCTTTTCTTGCCAAGAAGCAGCACATATCTCGTATGCCACCAATGTCAGATCATTATGAAATAAAGCTGCCATAAAATTGATCGACGAATATAACGACACATTAATTTTCTTGATTCCGAAATGTCGGCAACGTTTTATGACATTTTCAAAATTATATGCCGAATGTGTCTTACAAACAATTTTATTATAGTATAATAATAAATTGTTATTTTTTGTTGAATTTGCAACCTTCAGGGTAGACCATTTAAAAAAAAAATGTGGAAAACGGTTGGCCTCAAGGGTCATCCCTGCAACTTCCCGCTAATTTCATACGTTAACGTTCAAGTTTCGCTTTTTTCACTGCTTTTAGCGGGAAGTTAAAAATTGTATAATGTAAATAGTATTAGTGCATATATATAGTATATTTTTAATCTTTATTTAAAGAGTTTTAATATAGTTTTGTTTTTAAGAAAGAGCGGGTATTTTCTCGCAGAGTATTGTTTTGCTTAGCAGTACCAATTGTCAACGTATATACTTATTTTGGTTAGAATTCCCAGCAAATGTTATGTAAACTTTGACTTCCGAATAAATTATCAAAAGATATTTGTTAATTGAGTATATAAAAAAGAAATAAGGATCATATTTAGGTTATTTAAAACTTGTGTGTTTTTCAATATTAAAATATTTTGTTAAATTTAGTTTTAAAAGTAAATTTTGAAAAACTTTTGTGATTAAAATATACACGTACATATATTTAGACGTCATATAGGATATCTAGCTTGTTAAACTAATTTTAAATATGTATATTTTTCTGGAAAATGGAAAACGAAAAATACCCAAGAAATACATTAAAAAATCTCAAAACTTATTTCTTTCCTTAATGGCACCACTGTCAAATGTTATAAAAAATGTGGACTTTGACAGCGCTCTATCGAATCAAAGAGTTCGGATCATTTTATCCATGATTCTATGCTTGCAAATAGGGCAACATGGCACACATCTCGTGTTACAATCGATTTATTGAAAGACAAGTTTGGTGCACGCCTAATTTCACGTTTTGGATCTGTGAATTGGCCTTCAAGATCTTGTGATTTAACACCGCTAGACTACTTTTTGTGGGGTTATGTAAATTCATTGGCTTCAACGCTTAACCATTTGAAGGACAACATTCGCCGTGTTATTGCCGATATACGGCCACAAATCTTGGAAAAAGTCATCGTAAATTGGACGTCCGGATTGGACTACATCCGAGCCAGCCGTGGCAGTTATATGCCAGAAATCATATTTAAAATGTAATGCCACAAGATTATCTTCCGGATAAATAAAATTCATGTCTATCGAACAATCCATCGTTGTTTTATTGCAATTTAAAATTATATACCTCTAAAATAACACCCTTTATATTTTATTTTGACTGTTCTAAGACCCGAGATGCCATAAATCACAGGCACTTTTTGTGCAAAGTTTAATCCGAATATATTATATATTAGTTCTTGATTTGTGTACTGTACAGTGAAAGAATCATATGGAATTTAATATTGTGCTATATGGAAAGTAGACAAGGTAGTCCGATTCCGCCCATTTTCACACAACGATATACGAATATCATAGTAGGGCGGGGCTATAATTCGATTTCATCCATTTTCACACTTTCGGTAGGGGTTCTTAAACATTAAACATTTTGTCTTAACCAATTTGGTTGTGGCACCGCCCACTTTTAGACGAAATCCTACAAGTACATCTCAGGAACTACTCGACCAATTTCAACCAAATTTGGTGTTACTCAAACATTCCTATTAGACACTGCAAAAATGGGATCGGATGACAACCACGCCTAATTCCCATATAACAAACTTATAAATTCTGTCCGATTCTTTTACTTAACAGTTTACAAATCAAACATCAACAACGTTATCAGGATAAACTTTGCACAAATAGTGCCTTCAAGGTACTTCATCTTTCTACTACTGCATTCCCATGTACCAAATTACAATTTTATATCTTAATTTAGTGCTTAGTTATGGAAATTTATAGGTTTTCGATTAATGGAGATTGGAGGGCGTGGCAGTGGTGCGATTACGTCCATTTTCAAAATCTGTCTTTTTTGCAAAGAAACATATCTACAAACTTTCAATACGATATCTCACTTTTTACTCTAGTTACAGCTTGCATGGACAGACGGACGGACACCCAGATTTCAACTCGTCTTGTCATTCTAATCATTTATATATGCATAACCCTATATCTAACTCGGAGAGGTGATGAAAACAACCGTTAGGTGAATAAAACTACTATTATACTCTGTAGCAATATGTTACAAGAGTATAAATATAATATATTTATATTATGTATCCATATGGATTCATACATATATGTACATGGATTTATTTAGTACCTGTTTGCTTATATTTAGCTTGGCAATATAACTTTTTATACAATCGGAGCGACTGTACAAAATATGTGAGCGGCCAAGTTGGTAATTTTCTGTAACACTGTATTCTTTAAATGCATTAAGCACGTACACTAGTTAACATTTTAGTAATCGTTAAGAAAAACATGAGCGCGGCCATCATGATGCATACGCAACTAAATTACTCCCGTAGAGAACAGCATATGTATGTTGCTTGGCTACCTACACACATATTATGAATTATAAAATGTTTCCCACAAGGAGAGGATAGGAGAATAATGCCAGTGTTCACGAGTGTATAAAGTGTATTTTTCACAAGTAATCTTAGTCTTCGTCCCATTCTCCCCATTTGTCTGCATTTAATCTGGCACCATAATTAGAGGGATCAATTTCATTCAATATTTTCACTGATCATTATGGACAAATTAAAATCAGCAAAAGAATATCTGGGTATATATGGGGTGATATAATAAAGATATCGCTGATCTTTAGTCAGGAAAAAACCTTATGCATGAATTTATTTTGTATTTTTTTTTTTTGTTTTTCTTAGCCCACATGTTTTTAAGTAATAATTCATCTTAAACTCGAATAAAAGTCCACGATTAAGATTCAATGAGTTAATAGAACAATACTACCACTCGGCCTACTCCCTTCGCCTATGCTCTTTCACTTTCACACTTTCTAAGAAGGAATACTCACCGCAATTTCCGATGCCGCATAACGGACACAATCACGAGCACATTGCCGAGTATGGCAGCGAGTATAATGAGTATAATAATGCAACATTTGAAGATGACAAATGCTAAGTGTGTCGACCATTCGGGTGTTGATGCAGACGCAGTCGTCAACGTCGACGTCACGGCGGACGCTAACGAGTCGTTGAATGCTTTCGCCGCTGCAGACCCGGCAGCTGTCACTGCCGATTTTATAGGAACTAAATTGCCGCCACTATTTACACTCCCAAGGCCGGACCGACTGTCTGTGCCCTTACCGCCACCACTACCATTGCCGCCTTCATCATTAAGCAACACACTCGCCATGAAACTCAAATACTTCGGTTGATCTCCCTGCAAGGGTGGCGTAGGTGTTGCAACAACAACAGGAGCAATATTGCCAATGTGCTTTTCCAAAGTAATTGCGGCTTTTGTGGCCGTCTCTTCGCCAGAATCCGCACCGGCGATAATTCTTAAGTACTCGTCGTTCATGTTGCTGACCGCCGCCGCCGCTGCTGCCACAGCAGCCACATTCCCTGAGAAGGCCACAGGCAGTACGAACATGGCGACGGTGAACAAAACTAGAGTTTTAGTGTTCGTCGCTGCCATCACCGTTATTGTGCTCGCAGTTATTTTCGCAAAGTGGTTGGCACTTGTTGTGGCTAATGATTGTGGCATTGCGTCTTTGGCGTTGATTGTATTGGTGGTTGGTTCTCGCCTGAGTTAGTCTTGATGTTTGTTGCTTTTGTTTCTGTTGGCATTAACAGCATTGACGGCATACGCGCTCATTGTGTACGTAATTTAAATAGTGATTGGGGGAAACCTTACGTCCATGTGCTTTGAAACCGAACGGGCTTAATAAACGGCAGCAAAGGCGGCCTTCTTGTGTACCAACGCATGGTTGCGCTATTTGAAGACACCGCTACTTTGGTGGTTTCTGGGGCAACAATACAAATTGCTCCCTTAACTATGCTGAGGCTTTTTGACTTATAACATAATCATTGTTGTTGTTGTCTTTTTGTAGTCACTATAATTTCTGAGTTAGATTAACAATGGTCGATAAGCCATTTGAGGCGTTCCTGAAAATAAAATAGATACCTTTATTGTACTTTATATGTGTGTATGTGTGAACGAATGCAAAGCCATTACTCGTGCCTAAACAAAGAAGGTACGCACGAAATGTCCGTATCCCGGCTGAAATTGGAAAACTTATTTTTAGCCTAAAAATTGGTCGGAACCTCAAATAGTATTTTGTCGGCTCATCACATCTACGCGTACAGTGGCATTAATATATTCGAACGGCCTGCTCAAGTACTATGCAACAACCCACTTATGAGTCTATTTAAATAGTGATAAAATTGAAACCACTGTGAAGCAAGATTTACAAGAAGTTTTAAAATTACTGAAATACATTTTTGCATGTTGAGCTGCTTTTTGAGAAATCCCTTAAAATTACGAGGGATATGTATGTACTTAAATGAGTAAACTGGTCTGGAAAAATGTAACTGGGTGCACAATTCAACCGAGTAAAAGCAAGTTTGCTTCAAGGCATGACCGAAAATCTGGAGCAAAATCAGACCCACCATCACCATTTATATGATACATCAAAACAATTTAAAAGAAAGTTAATTAATATTAAAAAGATACCATTTTGGGATATAAAGCTTATATTGAAAACTGGCAAATAATATAATGCTCTAATCAATGTTTATTAATGTCATATCATCCCGGGTTGCCTGCTCACAGATCCATGTACTACTTTTTGAACAAACAAAACCAGCAAAGCCACACCACACATCAACAAAGGCATCATTCGAAAATAATGCGTCTAGGTACAGATACAGCCTGACTTGCCTGTACTTAAGTTGAGCTTAAGCAAAGAAGTGGGTCCCCTATGAAAACATCCTTCCATTAGGTATGCAAATAAGTAGAATAAGCACTCATATTTTAAACCTTGCCTTTGAGAATTAATAAAACATATCTCTAGTTATTTACGAGAATATTTATTTATTCATACTCACTTGTATTTCTACATGTGTTTATATATATTTATGTATCTAAATGGAAGAGACTGCCCTTTGTAAATCGTCGACAAAGAAGTGAGAGAGCCAAAAAAGTTTACGAGGAGATATGGAAGTGTGTGGCATATTCATAGGAGCAAACATCCAACTCAATTCACTCTATTGTATATTTATCTACGTTAGTAGCATCTACATATGTGCCATTTATATAAAAAGAAGAATATTCACACGCCATAGATTTCCAGCGGAATTCCGCTTGAATCAATGAACCAGCGCACTTGACATTGTTCTTGACAACGGTTCTAGCCAAACCAACCGCAACGGTGACGCCAATTGCAAGTACGATTTTGGCTTGCACTCCTCATAACGATACGCCCTGATTTATTGCAAAAAACAGCTGTTGAGCTTCTTAACTCCCGACTAGTTGAACTTACAAAAGAATGTGGAGTGAGGATTAGGAACTCAAACGGTATCATTTGATATATTGTGGTAGTGGCCATTTGAAATAAGTGGGCAAACTCTTTTTAGAGCGCAGGGTCTTGATGGAGAGTTTTTTTCAACGTTTTCATTTAATAAGCAGGATAAATATTTCTTACTATAATCGGAGCTTAAGCTAGCGAAGGGCGTCTGCTTCTAAACAAAACTTTAACTATAAATAGAACGAAGAAGAACCGCTGTAATTATTACTGTCGCCCAAAAAAAAGCTTAGCCCCGGAGTCCATTTCAAATTGCACAACAATAACTTCAGACACAAATAGATATTCCGACATTAGGGAATTGAATTTGCGTTAATTGGCTAATATTTGTCGAAAAATGAAAAATGGTTTAGGGCAGACAACAAATGGCGAATGCCCCAAGTGTACATTTATACAAACGCATATGGGTACCCAGTTTGAAACGGCGGAAGCCAAAAAGCGTTCAAACACAGGCGAAGCAATTCGCCTTGTTTAACTGAACTTCACGCCATCGAACGAAAATGGGTCCATTGTGTATGTAGAACCACTTACGCGAAGCCTGATACTTAATATAACAAATAACCTTGCAGCAATAGATCGAATAGGAGGAACAACAGTGCAGACGTCTTTCTGAAACAGCAGGAGACCATCATTCGCATGCTAATATTGGAGAACTGGTGGGGCGCCATGTAAGTATAACTTCCAGTATGGTGTGTCACCACCGCCCGTCGTTAGGGCGGCAATTGAAAAAGTAATAATTCATTAAAACGCACTGACAACGAGATGAAGCCCAGCGAGGATTATTCCTTTCGAATGCCGCCTGTGGCTCACCGCGTCAATAAAAGCCTCCAATAAAATGTTCGCTAAGCATGGCGGGTTTTGCGGCTACTATACACTGCGCATTTTTTTGTTACAACACTGAAGTACACCATAAAATGCGACATTCATGCAAATCCACCGATCGGCGTTCGTCTTTGTAAGTAGCCGCAAGCATTGGTTGGTTGTAAGTATTTGTACACTTAATCAAAATTGCGTAAGCAAATACAAATACCTTTAGTGCCTTTTCTCGAACTTCATACGTCGTATATCAGACTCCGATTTAGCCGATTAAACAATTTTCATATTTACTTCCTTATACTGGAAATTCTCTAACAAAGCTAGGCCTAAAATCTTCTAGAACCCCTTAATTGGAAATGTTTCTCAGAAAACTACAACCTAAGGCTTTATTTGAAAATTACATTTGGACCCATTAGAGCAATATCAACACACCTATCTGAAAAATGTTATGAGAATGGAGATTGGTCACTTTGTCACTTTCCAGGCATTTGAGGGATAAGAAGAAAAAGGAATTTCAACTCAATTGATGCATATTTCAAATTAAATAACCGTCAACCAAATGGCTGATGCAACAAATATTTAAAAATGTGCCCACCATGACTCTACCCCGTTTACTTTCCTGCACTCTCCTTCATGTTTTTATACCTTTTTTTGACAGATCACGCTTGAGTGATGTCAAGTTCTCATGCTATTTTTGTTCAGTATTGTTTGGCATTTCGAATAACGTTTACAAATCGTTCAAATTTATTACGAAATTTCACGTTCTGTAAAGAATGTGTTTCGCTCAACTTATGGTCAACATAATCGGCCTACTAAGCATACTAATCGTAACACCATCACCCATTTTGAGACCCAGCATTCATTATTGGATAATATTCGACTGAATAGATCACGTTCAGCACGCAGTGAAGAAAATATACCGGCCGTAGCTGAGATTGTACACGAAGACCGTGGAGAGTCGATTCGGCGCCGTTCGCAGCAACTCGGACTCTCTTTAAAAGTTCCAAGAAGATCCGACGTTGTCGAGCCCAATTTTCTTCAGCGATGAGGCCCATTTCTGGCCCAATGTGTATGTAAAGAAGAAAAATTGCCGCAGTTGGGACGAAGAGCAACCCGAAGAGATTCAAGAGCTGCCATTTCATTCAAAATAAACAACGGTTCGGTGTTGTCATCGATCCATATTTCTTCAAAAATGATGCCGGTGAGAGCGTAGCCGTAAAAGGCGACCATTATTGCGCCATGATAACTGACTATTTGATCCCTGAAACTGAAGCACGTGATCTCGGTGACATTTGGTTTTAACAAGACGGAGCCACTTCCCACATATCGCATCAATCAATCGATTTATTGGAGAACACTTCGGTGAGCAGATAATTTCAATTTTTTTTCGCTCCACCCTAATGTACATATATACAGTCTCGTAACACCCAAAAGGAGGCGTCAGACACCCCATAAAGTGTATATACAGGTATGTATAAATGATCAGCGTTAACTCGTATCTCAGTTTTTGAGATATTGATTTGAAATTTTGCACAAGTGTTTTTGTCATTAAGAAAGTACTCATTTATCAGAATGGAAATCGAACCACTATAGCATATAGCTGTCATACAACCTGAACGATCGGAATAAAGTGCTTGTATGGAAACATTTTCAGTTGACGAAATATCCTCACAAAATTTCATATGGGGTCTTATCCAAGGCGAAGCAATCTCCGAAGAAATTGCTCAAATCGAGTCAACATACAAACTGACCGATCAAAGTTTTTGTAAGGAATCTTTTGTATTTGTGAAGGGTATTTTTGTTATGCTCTTGCAACATGTTGCTACAGAGGGGCATGTATGGTTGACAATTTCTTAAAAAGCGGGATTGACCCCGCCTCCTAATGAGCTTAATGTATATATTATATCTCCTACACCATTTGAGCTATATGGCCCAAATTTGCACAGAATACATATTTTTGACTTTTCCTTCGACAGTGTAAAAACGGATGAAATCAGATGATAACCCCGCCCACTCCCCATGAACCGATTTTGGTAAAAATTACTAAAAGTGTGATAAATCAATAAGAGGCATTAGATCTAACATCCAGGATGGACCCATTTCAAAAAAATTCGGTACATAACATTCTTCTAATACAACCACGCCTACTTCCCATACAACACAATTTTAAATTTTATCTGATTCTTTAACATTGCAGTGGACAAAGAAAACATAAATAACGGGATGAAACTTATCACGAATAGTGCCTTTGAACTTTATGACCTAAAATTGTCCAAATCTAACCAAAAATGTTTAAGCCCCAGGTACCGAATATGTGGAGAGTTTGCTTTTTTTCCGAAAATATCGGTCAATGCGTGAGATATATAATTGAAATTCGGAGTGAATCCTTTCCTGATAGTAGAATGTCTGTATGTCAGAAATGGGTTGAATATGGTCAATACTTCCCTGAGCCCTATATCTAATATAAGTAAATATTTTCGAGTTTCTTTAATATTAATGAAATTAAGTGGATGTATTTTTCTTATAATGGTGCGTTTTATGACTCAAATAAGTAAAATCAGGCGAAAACTTCATTCAGCCCCCATATACCTAATCACAGAATTTTCAAAAATCGAGCTGATTTTACATATGTATGTTGATGATGGTTAAATCGGGTCAATACTACCCCTATCTTTCATATACGATATAAGATTTTTAAACTTCTGGTTGGCCCTATGCTATATATATCAGTCAATATGAAAGGTATATAAGCGAAAGTAACTGAAC